CATACTTTTAATCTTAAAAATCGCTAAATTAAAATTACCAAAGAATAGGACAGTAGGTAAAATTTAAACTTTAAAATGGCATTCACTCTATATGCTTTGGAATGTTTTGGCTCTCCACTAAATAGCTCAATAAATATGCAAATATTTTATATACGTTTATATTTAATCGGTTTCAAGAGCGGGGTCGACTGCACATAATCTCCTCCGCGAAGGGGTTGAGATCTATGGAGGAAATTCGGAAAAGAGACAAAAGGGCATAAGGCACGGAATGCAATCATAAATAAACAGCACGCATCCAGACTTCTCGCATGTAAATAGGGGGCCAAGAACCAAGTTGCAGCACAACAGGATTTTCTCCTCCCACTGGCCCTGTTGTCAACGTAATTTACCATTTTTCCTTCAACTCGCATCGTCTACGGTATGCATCACTCACTCACTTAGCACCCCACGCTTCGTTCTTGAGCTCTTTCCTTTTCACTTGGAAAAATTGTTCAAACTTTGAGAAATATATAAGGAAATATTAAACAGTTTAGTAACTTATTTTTAAATATTATGTACAGTTATAAGCTATTTTATAGATTTTCTTGTGAGGTTTATCTTTAAAGGTTTAAAAAAACAAAAAAGGTTTAGGTTATCAATTCTTCTTTTGTAATTTTTGTACCTACAATGTACCTTTATTTTTCTCAGTGTGCCGCAAATGGCGTTTTCGAGCGGGCTGCGCTGATGAGCTCTGTGCATTGCATACTTCGCGGCGCAGACTTTTCAACCTGCCACGGACGCCGCCCATCAGTTATTTGTCTCGCGCGGCATTGTTTGTCTTGCGAGTTGGCGCTCCAAGCTCGGCAGCTGCCTCATTTGCCGCCGCCTCTTTAATGTGTGGGTAAATGCGACAAAATCAAGTTAACTGCCAGCATTAACGCACATGCAGTGCAACAGGATACAGAGCGCAACTTTCGCGGCGACTTTGCCAACTAACTGGGTTTGCAGCGCAAATGAAATTTGCCAAAATGCCAGCCCCGCAGCCCGACATCGAATTATGTTGCCATCAGGAGGATTTTAAATCAATTGGGGGGCGAAGCTGCGTGACAAATAAACCCAAGCGGAACGACCACACTGCGTATGCGCAATCTGCAGCCGTGGCAGCTGCTCCTCCACATGGTGCTTCTGCTGCTGCCGCCGAGGCGATTAGGTCGTCCTGACCGTCATACAACCACTACCCTTTGTGCCTGGCATTATCTGCGTGGCCACTTGAGCGACTCAAAGGGGCACTTTGATCTCGGCGCCCCCTTCCATCATCCACCTGAGATTCAACCAATCTCGGTTGTAATCCGACACGGGCAAAAATAGCAGTTTGTTTATAAATATTACCTGAAAAGACAAATAAAAAATATATATTTTCCCAAAGAGTATTTCATTACTATTTTTATTAAATTAGATGCTATTAGCATAGAATTAAATAATTTTTTAGAATAGCATAATTTAGAATAATTTTTTTATTTAATAGTTAAAATTATGAATTCACTTTTTAAATAAATAGGTACATGTTTTTAATCTAACTAATTTTGATAAATTTAAAAAAAAAGGTATTTTTTTTTAGAATAATAGAAAGTGCCTAAATAATTCTCAGTGCTTTATTCCATTGCAATCTTGATTGCCTTCGGCCGTCGGGCTCTTCATGTTGTGGTCACTAAGCAATGGATATGGACACCTGATTGAAAGCGGAGCACTTGAAGTTTGCATTCGGCCATAATGGCGGAAGCAGCTAATGCACTGATTATCCAGGTGCACACACTCACCGACTCGCACGGGAGTAGGATGGGAATCCTTTGAGTTCGGTGCGAGTATTTCCAATAATTAAACAATCCCCCAATGCTGGAGTGGATACCCCCGCACTTGAGTCTATTGAATCGAACCGAATCGCACTGAATTGAATCGAATTCAATGGAGAATTTGGCAGAACGATGGGGGAACTTCAAGTGAGTGGCATGTTGCACTTTAACTGGATTTCGCCGGCAGGGATTGCCCGCCACCCACTCACTGACTGCTCACTATCGGTGGCCACACTTTTTTCCTGTGTCCATACAAATCAATTTATGCCCGGCCAGCGTTTGAACAATTTCTGTTTCTGCTTCTGTTTCGGTTTCCGTTTCTGGTTCTCTTTGTGCAATTGACGGGCCAATAATTAAGCCGGTGCCCAGGGAAAACGATCGGAAAACGCATGGAAAACTGACTGTCTGCCTGTCTGACTGACTTCCCTGCTCTGTTATGCGGCTTGTTCTTATGACTCCGCTGTCGCTGCAAAGTCAATTTCCTTGCTTATTTAAATTTCAAAGCAAATGACAGAAGGTGTTGTTGCGCTGCCACAAACTGGATTAAATTTCGTTTAAAATGTAAATGGAAAAAAGCGTGATAGACAGGTTGGGCTTTTGCCGCCCGAATCGTATCCAAATTGCGTTTACAACGGCGAAACATCAAAAAAGCGAACAAAAATCGAGAGAGCGGCACCGAACGCAGGAAAAACTAAACAAACACCTCATCAAAGAACATCAAAGGCCGCCCCAAAAAATAAAAACAGGAAAAACCCCAACAATAACCGGCGAGGGGAGAAAAAATCAAAAACGAAAAGAAAGGAAAGCAAAAAAGGTGGTTCGAAGAAAGAAAAACATTTTGGTGCGCACGACGCAGAAAATAAAATCAAGAATTTCACACCTTATCAATTTTGCTAGATTAACAAAACGAACAATGGGGTGGGCCGTCCACCACCCACTCCTGCCAGGGAAATTGCATCATCAACGTCCTTGCCGCATGGAGATCGACATCATCATCATCATCCTGTGGATGTGGATGCAGGGAAGCCAACGTCACCGCACTTTGTCATTAAGGAAGTCAAAAACTTCGACCCCAAGCGGCGAACTGAGGAAAATCGGGGGATGGTACTCTCTCCTTAACTGCAAAGCTCGGGGAAATGGAGACTGGAGAAAGCGGGGTAGAAATCGGTTTGGCTTTGTGTGACAGCAGCGTTGACATTTATTTTGATTTCAGTTTCGAGTGCAGGACCTAAGTGGGTGAACTTTCTATTTCCCTTCATCTGTTATCCACTCCAACCTGTTTAGCTACCCCTGCTCTTTGATACACTGAACAAAAATTGCTGAGAATTTTTTTTAAGGGCGTGCTCAGAATTATTTTGTAGCCTTCAATATTTTCAATTTACTGGTAAGGTATCCTTAAAAAATCTAAAATCAAGAAAGTTTTTAAATTTATTTTAAAAGTGTACAAATGCTATTGGAAAATTTACAAACTTCTTTATTTTTATACTTTATTAAAAAACAAACTAAATAATTATTTAATAAAGCAAACTTATAATAACTTTTAATGATATATTCTTTATTTTTTCCCTGTGCACTCATGCTAATGTGCATCTTGGCTCAGCTTTTCACTCAGGGGATGGCCTTTTTACTTGGTGTCGCTGTCACTAAATTGAATTTTATGTGGCGAATGCCAACTTTGATGTGTGCCTTTATTAATGGTTGCCGGGAACTGTCAGCCGGGCTCAAAGAGAGGTTTCGAGCATGAAAATGGGTTCTAAATCAGCACTGATAGAGCGTCGGCGTAGAGTTTACGGTAATTGCAGCACAAACAGGGGCGAAAACTCCGAACGGCGGGAAGGCATGTAAATTCAATGAAATATGGCTTGCAAAAATGCCTCGCACAAGCAACGCCTCAAAATGCCAGCAATGCGCCGTCCACTCGTCCCGCTGGCCATCTGAACATCCGACCATGAGACCATGAGACCAAGACCATGTGACCATCTGACCAGCGGCTGCAAAAGTCCGTTCGTCGAACGGCAGCTTGGAATTCCGGGCATAACTTCTAGCAGCAACGAGCAGACGAGCATATGTAAAAAGCGGAGCCAGCCAGCGACACATAAGTACACACGAACACACATTGCTGGCGGGTTTCCATGACACAAAAAAAAGAAAAGCGTGCTGTAAAAAAAATGGAATGGAAAATCTAGCCCAGCCAAGTCTCTAAATTGTGTGGCCCTAAAAGTGTCCGGCGGCACATAATGCTCTCAAAACGTGCACTTAACTTAAAACTGCATGATTGTCCTTGAATTCGGAATGAGGTAAAAAACATAGTTCTATGTTAATTTTCATTAAATAAGAAAAATTACTATGTCATCACAACAACAAAATAGGAAAATTCTAAACATTTTAGCTATCTATAATATTTTAAAATTGGGTTTTTTTTTATCTATCTCACCTCCTCTTCTTTTCTTTTTGAGGTAGTCTTGACCACCTACCAAAATTTAAAAATTTTTTAAAAAAAAAAAAATTTAAAAAAAAAAAAAAAAAAAAAAAAAAAAAAAAAAAACCAAAAACAAAAAAAAAAAAAACGTATTATCTTTTAATACCATACAAATACCTGAAGATTATATCCCATTAAAAAAGTATTCATCCTTTTCCTTTATCAGTTAATAAAAATACCATTTTAATAGATTGTTTATATCTATTATTCCTTTGATCTTATATTTATTCTTTCAATTTCTTTAAGTGTATACCCACTCACACGCACACACAAAAATCTGTCTGTGTCCTTGCCACATGCATCGTCTGCTGGAGCTGCTTCTGTTGCCCAATGGCCGCAAGGAATTTCACACAATTGCTAGAAAAATTGCAGAAAATTGAAAATGTGCGAGAGAGCATAAATTTTTACTGCGTCACTTGTGAATGCTAAATTGTTGTTATTTATGTGGGCACTGTAAAACCAAGGTCCGCCACTTCATCCCTTTATCCCCCTTACCTCCTTTAACTTCCGCAATAGGAGATAAAATCTGTGAGAAGAGTTAAAGACACAAATCGATTTCATTTCACACATAACTTGATGCCCGTCACTGGGTTTTGTGGCTTCCTTCGGTGGCGAATCCAACCGAAGGCGGTAACAAAACCCTGTGCAGCATTTCAAGGTCACAGGATATCGTAGGGGATAAGATAAAGATAAAAGTTTACGATTCGATTATCAATTTTCACAGCAGTCCTCGCTTGAGGACGTGCAAGCCAGTTCGGGCAAAGAGGCGAAAGAAAGTGCAGCCGAAATGGGCCATCGTGGAAGCGATCAGCAGGCCAACTCCCAAGGAAATGGCTTCATCCTGATGTCCTTCCAGCCAATTGAGCAGTTTCTTCGCCGGTTGCATAACCAGCTGCTTCTGCCTCTCTGCGGCATGTTCATGGCAACTCTGGCCATAGAGAAGCAGATAGGATACCTGCATGGTGTCCGCATCCCTGATGATCACATGCCTCTTATCGCCGCTGGTTTCGTTGTCCTGGAATACGAACTCCACCACAGCCACGCAGCGGAGTATCGATCCGCACCGAGACCCACCTAATCCAGCTTGGGGTTTACTTCTGGCCAGAGCTTCGTTCACATCGCTCGTCAGCTCCAGACACCTTCCATGGGTCAGGGAATTGGCGTTGAGCAGGGCGTACAGCTTCTCCAGCTTGCAGCCATAGAAACCCAGGCGAACGGATGATCTATTTTCCTGCCTCAAACGGGCGTATGCCTCCGACTTCGTTCGCACCTCGAAGATCTGGGTGGGTGGACGATGCGGGGCGGGCATACCCAAATGGGCATACAGCTGCTCGAATTCACAGGGTCGCAGGGAGCTCAGGGACACGCGATCGGCCTGATCCACCAAAATGTCCGTCAGCAAACGAACCACATTGGGGGAGCAGGCCTGGTAATCGCAGTGTAAGAGCTGCTCCCGCAGGACCTCCAGTCTGGGGGCATCACTAAGGGTATCGCAGAGTAGGTCTATGGTATCCCAGTGGCTGGGCAGGGGTCTCAGCCTCGTTCTGTAGCGATAACTCCAGGCGGCGGCCACGAAAATGGTCCACAGAGCCTCGCAGCCCAGAAAATCCTCCTGAAGACGTCGCTGCACCTGGTGGAGGGCCCCCAAATTCGGGGTCTCCGATTTTAATGGTACCTCTATGGACTGCGGCAGTAGTGCCACCAATCGCCGCCAACTGATCCGCTTCGCTCGCATCTGACTATGATATCCCACCGCTCCTGAGGCTCCCGAAAGCAGAGTCATTCTCACTGGATTTCTATTTCGATTTCCCTTTGGAGACTGAAATTTTGAAATTGTTTCGCAGACTTTTCGGCAAGCCGTCGGGCATCAATCTAAGCCTCCGACAATCTCGACAATCGAATGAAGTGTGTCGCCCAGGTGGCAGGTCGGGTGATTGCCCCGGACTGGTTGCAGGAGATTGAATTTCGTCAGGGAATGCACTGGAAAAAATAACGCTAGAATTTGAGAAATATTTACAAACAATTTTGGAGACAAATGACAGAAAGTTTTAAGTTCCAACTTTGACATTGGAGTCTGTTTTATTACTCTAAAAAAAATTGTGTGTTTTTTGGTACAGAAATAAACTGTGTTTAGTTCTTTAGGATTTACGATTGTTGTTAAGTTGCCATTATCTTTTATTTCAAAAGGTAGTTTTTAGATTCTCCGGTGGTTTTGTCGTCAATTTAATTGAAATTCTCTTGAAAGTCGAAGATGTCAGCAAAATAGAGTAGTTTTAATTTTTCAGAAATTATTTTGTAAGTCATGTTCTAAGCTTGAGTATATTTTTCAAGTGCAGGCATAGTAACAGTTGGCAAGTGTGATCTCCGTATGGGTTATGGTTGGGTGGCTGCTGTGGGTGGTTGGGTCTTTGGGTGGCTGGCTGGTTGGGCTGTAATTGATTAATGGGGCCTGATGTCGAATGCCTGATGCCTGCTGTCTGCCGCTTGATGGCTGACGCTCACCTTATGTCGGGGGTGACTTAACCTGGGACGCCCCGAGATGAGATGAAGCCACCACCGAGCGAGCAGGAATGGAATGGTCAAAGTTGCATCACTGCTACGCAGTTAATTGGATACTTTTTCAATACTTTTATCTGCGGCAGCAACCAACCCCCGGCCTTTGCCATTGGGTCTCTCCACCTGCTGCTGCATGCGTAATTTATTGATATACTCCCGCTAAATTATGACTCTCCTGGGGGGCGCGAGAGCGAAATAATTTTTTGTTTTCCTCACTTTTTCCCCACCCAGGAGCCTGGGTGTGCAGGTGTGGGTCTGCGTGGAAATCAGTTAACCGAAAAAGTTTGCAACTTTTTGCCTGTGCCGCTGTGCTCGCTGCCTGTGAAATCAAAGTTGGAGTTTATTCAAATAAACGCCGACATTAAGAGAGTTGCAACTGTTGCGTTGCGTCGTTGAAGGCGTCTCCTGGCATTCGGCGGCATAAATCAGGGCCAACAGCCGTGGCAACTTTTTCGCAGATAAACTTTTGACGTCATTTAACCCTCTTTTTTTCAGCCAGCCAGCCTTTTTTCGGGGGTGCCTGTGCAATGTTATTAATATGCCCAAGTTTCTTTTGGTGTGTCAATTCCCCGGAGGCGCCTCCTGCTAAATAATTCCAGTGCCCATCGATTTCCCGCCACCAGGACAAACGAATGTCTTTAAAGGATTCCCTTTCCGTTTATTACACACTAAATGAGGGATCATTTTCATATGCTCGTGAAGGGTAAAGTGTGGCAGTTAAACGGAAGACGCAGTGATAGAAAAGTTACCAAAATATAGAGATAACAGATGGTATAAAAATTAAATTAAATTAAATTAAAAAAATAATTAAATTTCCTTACTCAATTTAATTTTTAATAAAAATAATACAGGTATTTAATTTGTTAGTGATAGATTGTTATTTTCCCTTACTACTTTCTAATTTAAGTGCCACACTTAACCTGCTAGCGAGCTCCGAAAAATCCCCGCGACTTAAGCTAATTAAAAGCTGGAGATGGATAAATACGACTTTACAGACTCCACAATCCGCTCCACGTAGATGCTGTTGTTGTGCAGGACAAATAGCAAATTTCGCAGCGGCAATGAGTTCTGAAATGCAGAAGATGAAGCGTGAATCAGTGCGGCGAAATCAATTATGACAAACACTCAGCATCGAATTGCTGATAAATATATATGGGCTCGGGACTGGGGGAAAATAAATATAAATTGCCTGCTGGCTGGCGATTTGATTTCATAAATATGTGCCTCACGTAGCCCAGCTCAATTGCCAATTAGAAGCGAGGCGAAAGGAAAAAGCAGTCGGAAAAGCGGCAGAAAGAACATAAAAAGAAAAGGCGGTGGCACTTGAAAATTCTGAGGCATCAACGGAAGTTGATTTGTATACGGAATCGCATATAAAAGTAGCCCACTTTTAACCTGCACCTTCTTCCTTCTGGCCAAAACTCAATAAAGCAATCGGAAATTTTTCTCACGTCCCTTTGGGAAAATTATTATGGAGCTGGCAGTTGAGGACGGCCGTTTCAAATGGAATGGAATTCCTTTAAACAATTTTCCCCCACCACACACACATAGTATAGGTACCTAGCCAGGGGGATGGAGATGGGGATCGAGCAAACAAAGCGTGTCCCCAACTGAAATACAATTACCACATGGGGGACTCAGGTTTTGCGACTCACCTGCAGACCGCTCAAAATTTTGGCAAACTTTGGGCTGCTAATGCTGTCGACAAATGCCGAGAACTGTTTGTTGCTCTCGAACTCATCGAAAAACAGGGCGTACAGTTGGTCCTGCGGCAGGATCTCCAGGACCCTCTCCACCATTCCATGCAGGCCGCTCTGGGGCTCGCCGGCGGCCGAACTGCCATCCTCGGTGGTTGGGGCTTTAGTGGCCTCTGAAAATTATATTTTTTACTTATTTAGAATGAGATTTTTTTAGGCATATATTTTAGGGCTTAAAATAATAAAAATATTTTTTTATAGGTTCTCAAACTAATTTGAACAAACTAACAATCACATCGAAACAATCATTACTTATACGCACCGTTGACGACCATTGGGCCCAAAATGGAGGGTTTGAATACCCCTGCCACCGAATGCATCACTTTGATTACATCCAAACCCTGGGCACCCAGATAGTTGGTAAACTCTAGGACTTCCGGCAGCTGAAGGATCTTGCGCTTGATATCCGCAAAATCGCTGCTGGCGAGGAAGGCATAGGCCCTTTGGAAAGTCCGCATCCTGGTGGTAGTATTGCGCAGCTATGGTCTGGACTTCTTGCAGGGGAATCAGGGCCACAAAGGCGCTCAGATCGACGGAATTGTTAGCGGCAATTGGTTTCTTGCGACTCAGGAATATCAGATCATCGGAGGTGTTGCTTTCACCACTTTCCTCGCTCTCATCGCTGGCGGTTCCGTCGAGGGTCACGAAGCCAATGCCACTCACATCCGACTCGTCACTTTCCGGCCTTATCAAATCGCCCTGGGGAAAAGCCACCGAAAGGGAAATGCCAGCGGCACAAACGACTAGGAGCAACAGGTGACCGCGATTCATTCTGGCGATGTGATCTCCTGCACCGATTCTGAACTTCTGGCCGCCTCTTCTCACGGCACTTTTTCATGCGTTCACTTGTGGAGACTTTGGAGACCATTCGAGACTCTGACAATCGTTTTGTCCCGGCGATTATTTAATTTAATCAGCAGCATTCAACAAAAGCCCGCAGTTGTTGGAGGGGATTTCATGACCGAGGTGCAGCTAAGAGAGGTCACAACACTCTGAAAATAAATTATTAAATTTGAAAAGCTTTGTTTTACGTTTTGAAACTAAGCTTCCGTTTATAACTTTTTAAAATGTCTAATAAAATTTTAAATTTGTACCTATTTTAAAAAAATATTTCGGATTAATACAAATTTAAAGATTAAATACAATTTTTTAGAATTTTAGATGAATTCCCTTCTTATAATATTTAAGAAATTTCAAAGATTTAAACCCTAAAAATAAACATTGCTTTAAAAACGTTAATAAAGGTATAGTACAATCGTATTTATCAAGTTTTTATTTAACTTGTTATTATTTATGGTAGGTTTTTAGGAAGGAATATTTTTTGTTTGTGTAGCTTAAATCAGGAGTAAATAAAATGATGATTTATGGCGTTTATCGGTGGCTTCGATTAGGTAATAAAACATGACTTGGAGCCCTAGGAGCCACCGCCATCGCTTCGTCCTCGTAAATTATCCAAAATGGGCGGGTTTCCTGTGGGCGGTTTGGACAACTGCATTTCCGCCGATGCAAATCAAAGAAAAGAGCACCCAAAACACCCCTCTCTGCGGGTGTTCGAGTGTGATATTCACACTTTGACAGCTGGCGGGAATGTCACCGTCACCCGGTTAGTCACTGTGTGTGTCACTCAGTCAGTCACTCAGTCAGTCAATCGCTCAGGCGCCCATTCAGGTCTCGTTTCCAGCTCGCTCGCTTGTCAAACTGTGCATAAAATATGTACATGCATATGTCCCCATCCCCATCCCCGCACACACTCACACTCATTCCGGCTGATATATTCATTTGCTCATTCAGCAAGTTAAGTAGGAATAAAATTGTCAATTTTCATGTCATTATTCCATGTCGTCGTCGCCGTTTGCCGCCTGCCGCTTGCCGCTCACTTTCGCATGTGTCAACTGTGACACTCTCCACACTCGTCGTTCTGTGTGTTTTCAGATATGATTTATTCACTTGGCTTGATTTATTACAAGCCCACAGCCGAGCCGCAGCCTGTAAATTGTTCTGCCTACAAACCAATAATAATTGTATCGTCGTCAACGTCAGCCGACCGAACTTTAGTTGCACCGCAATTTTTTACATAAATTATTTCGCTAAGCCCCCAACTTGATTAAAACTTGGCCTAGACTACGGACTACGGGCCACGGGCCAAGTGAAGGAGTGTCGGCTTCGCCGTAACGTATGACACTTTATGAATTTGGAGCGCAAAGTTCGAGGGCTCAAACTTTGCCGGTGTCGGTTTGGCCCGAACCGTAAACAATTGGCCCGGCCAGTTATCCTGCACGCCAAGAAATCGCAACTAACTCGGTTTTAAATATATTTATTTTAACTATTTAAAAATCTGACAATACATCCTAAAAAGATATTTAAGTTCAAAGTTAATGATTAATTAATTCTACATAAGTTAAACTAAATATTGAAATAGATAAAGGGCCGTTTTCTTGTGCGCATGTTATATTTAAATTGTGCAACTCTGGAATTCTTTTGCAATTTCAAGGTTTTAACCCTTCTTTAAAAACCCTACTTAGCTTTACATTTTCACAGAGTTTGTAGAGTTAATTGGCTGAAAATCTAGAAGAAATTCATATTCTTTGTTCTTATCGTAAAGTTTTTTCTTCTCTTGAATCAATGCCTGTATCACAAAGATTTTAATAATGGTTGGAAACGATTTTGGAAACACACCTGGTAATTAAAAGTACATCGTTTCTCCAAGTGTTTCAAGCGAACCGAACTTATAAATTAATTTCGCCCCACCAGAATACTTCAGTGAGCTCCTGGCATACCTCAGCTGCCATAAAGGTGGCGTCGGCCCAACTTGGCGGCGACTTAATTAACTGCAGTCCGGCAAAGTCAGCGGTACACACGCACCTGAGACCGGGGAGAAGGAGGAGGACGAGGACGAGAACGGAGTGCATCCTGGCAGGACGAGGAGGCCAGTTAATTTCATGCTGCCTGGCTGCCTAGCTGCCTAGCTTGCCCCCTTCCCCTTGCCAACGCCATGTGTTTTAAAGTGATTTCCTTGGCCAGGCGCCCTTTGTTTATGTTGCGGCATAAGAGCTCCGCTTTACCGCAAGTGTCAACATTTATTTCCAACTTAACACTTTTGGCGTAACATGGCGCTTAATCCGCAGCGCCAAGTCGAGCCGCGCCAAGAACTTGACTAATTTTGTGCAAAGTTCAGCATTAACATTACCGCAAATTAGCAAAAGTTTTCGCACAAACAGCCGCAGCGCAGGAAAAAAAAAAAAAACCAAGCCGAGAAATGGTGAAAAGGGGAGAGTTCCGGAGGAGTAGTAAATCCGATTGCAGGGATTGCATGGTGGGAAATGCTGAGAAAACAGGGGAAGGGAGCACTTTGAGTTGTGGCATCAGCAGACGTTGCCTGTAGTATCTGGGATGGTTCACTGACTGCCATAAATTAACTTGTCTAGGCCCGATTCCTTGCCAGGCGGCCTGTCCCCAAAACTTCTTTCCAGATTCCCCAGCTGCAGAACCCCCAACCCATCGCCTTTCGGTCTTGTAATCTGTTTCACACTTAATGTTTTCTCTTTCGCAGTTTGGTTTCCACTTTGGCATCACGTAGGAAAAACTGTTGTTTAATTGGGTACATGTCTCTAAAATCGAAATGTCAGCGGATAAGTAGTTTGCTTGGTTAAAAATAAACTGCACTTTTTTTGAACACAATCAAAAGTTACTCAAATTGATTTTCTTATGGTTTTCAGGTGTAGATAACTAAATTGTATTTATTTATATACCTATTTATTTTTTTAATTATTTTTTTTTGTTTATTCATTAATTAACTACTTAATTTTTGTTAATAATGTTTCAGTTTTACATAAATATATTTAATTTGGTAAAATATAAGTTGGTTACTATAAATAGCCAGGTTTATTTAAAGGCACAAACCAATCCAACCTTTGATGAATACCTATTTTTGTAACGCTATCTTCTCCATTACTGTGACATTTTGATTACGATATCGGTTATTTATAGATGGACAGATCAATCGATATGTACTTTATCCATGCCGACTTTTCCCCGTCAGATGTCAATCAATTTTTGGGGCTTGGCTTTACCCGCTGCCCCTCTGCAAAGGATGTCAGTAAACCGTAACAAAAACAGAAATTATGTCCTTACACACAGGTCATCGCCGACTGTCGACTGCCTGCGCAACCTTCAATCAATTGGGGTTTTTGGCATTTTCGTGGGGCTGGTGCTGGGGAATTCCCCGTCCTTCAAACTGAAGAGCTGAGTGTTCCAGCGCTTTTGACACGTTTGGCAAATATTTGAGCACGTCTAAAAGCGCGTTTCGGTCTCCAGGCAGGCGTTCAATATTTTCAGAGCGGAGCGCAGCAGCCTTAGATGACCAATGTTCGATGCTCCCTGCCTGGCCATGCCCACTTTTCCGACCGCCCCTATTTTCCCATTTCCACTCCCCCTCCCATCGCGTGGCAGTGCGTGCTTTGCCCTTGGCCTGTGGCTTAATTAATTTTCGCTTCCGTTAACAATTTTTATGCGGACTTGGCTCCTTGGGAGCGCTTCGCATGCGCTGATTTCGTGTTTATGGGTCCTTTAATTCGCCACTAATACGGCTCCGTTTGCGGCGGAATTATTTGCCGGATACATGCGATTAGTTTTGCCCAGATTGCGAATAGTTTTGGCTGCCTCTCTTGTATTTTGGAAGCGTGCAACAAGTTAATTACATAATTCAGCCTGCCCACGCCTGCACTTGCTTTTCATATTTATGTTGGCCTGCGGGGCAGCACTTCCGATATAAGCCAAATAAACACTAAATTCCGGTTAAATAGGCAACGACACCAGCAGAAGCGCCAGAAGAAACTCGGTCAAAAGGAGTATAAAATAAAATCAAATTAAATAAAATAAAATAGCTAAAGCAAAGCAGGGGCAGCATCGAAAAAAGAAGACTTAAAAATAAGCTAAAAGTCTTTTGAAGTTGCCAAAGTAAAAGCAGGGGTAAAAATGGAGCGGAGGATGGGAAAGGCGGGCAAACAGCGCGATATAAAGTTGGGGCTTTTTGGCTTTGACGCACGTAGCTCCCGATTTGAAAGTTTGTCGTGTGTGCTCTGTATACGTTTGTACATATATATTGTATATGCTTTTATACGAACAGCAAGGAATCGACAGAAAATTGCCACCACTCCGCCCGGCGCTTTGCTTTGCGTTCGCTGCATCGCTTTTATTAAGCTTATACATTTTTTATTTAAGACTTTTCACTTTGAGCAGTTTTGTGCAAGCCCCGGGGCCAAAGGCAAACAGCCAGCCACACCGACAGTCATGTGACATTTATTTGAGTTGCCAGCACTCCGAGCACTTCAATTTCGCATCTAACAACAGTCACCCACTTCCATGCACTCGCTAAAACCCGCCGAGGCCCATAAATTATCCAAATAGTTAATGCCAAAATTGTGAAATAGTGTGACACTTTCATTAAATGCCCAGGGCGCTGAATAAATGGGGAGTTTCAATAAAAACGCCACGTCGTGTGCAATGCAGAAATATTTGATAAACTGCAACAATTTCCCCAAGGGCTGACCACTTTTTTATGGCAGCCAACCGCCTGTATTAGGTTTGCAAATATTTTAGCTGAAAATGCGACCAAATCCATATGGAGTTTATTCGATTTGATTTGTGGTCGGCTAAAGTTTTCAAAGTAAAAATTTTACCAATTTCGGCCATTTTGATAATAAGATGCCGGCTAACGTTTATTTGTGTAGGCGTACAGAGAGAGTAAATATTGATGGAAAAATTGTTTTAAAATGATATATGGTTTAAATTAATATTTAAAGATAAGTTTTATAAGATTAAGTATTCCAATTTTTAACAAAAAAGAGTTTTTTTTAAATGAATATTTTTGGAAATATTTAATGATTTTTTTTAGCCAGTTTTGTTATTTGAAGGAAAAAACATTTGGTTTTACCCAGCAATTGAAATATTGGTTTTATTATCTTTTTCATTGGCGCATTAATATCCGCTTTATATTTTTCTGTGTGTAATATGTGAGGTTGCAGGGTTATAAAAAAGCGCCACGTGGTGCATATAAATTGCCAGGTTTCAAAACTTTTCCGTAGAGGTGCAAATTACTTTTGTTCTTTTCTGTTTGCTCTCGGCGTATTTTTGCTAAATTCTTCTTTTACCTTTTCTATTTTTTCCTTCACCTGACAACTGTCAGGCATCGAATTGACCAGAGTTTTTGGCATTGCCTAAGCGTGCGTGTGAATGACCAAAAACTGGACATGGACGCACAAGTATTTATAGCAGACTATCGCTTGTGTGACTATCGACTGAGTACATGTATGTGTGGTGGTCAAAGGAAATCAATTTCCATATGCAAAACTTTTTTAGTGCACGTACTGGACGAGAGGGAGCCGAAATCGAATTTTGTCCATAAAATATTCAAATTGTTCTGTATAAACGACGCATAAACATTCTTTGTGCAGGACAGGGCAGGGCACCTGCAGCACCATTCCCATTTCTGTTCCCATTCCCATTTCGATCCCTCTCGAATCGCATAAATTTTTATGTTCAAATGCCAAAGGCCGTAGGCAGACGATCGCTTAATGTGTCCCGCGGCAGAAATTCAATTTGTAGCACATCCGTGGCTGGCAAGGAAAAAGGTAAAAAACGGAGAGCAGACAGAGGAGTCAGAGGAGAAAACTGCAAATGCGAAAAAAGTGCAAATGTCCGAGGACCAAGGAGCCAAATAAACCGAAACAAAACAGGAGCAAAAGTATCCCCCTGGGAAAGCTGAGAAAAACACAGCCCGACTGCTGCGGCTTCTGCTTCTGCTATTTTGCTATGCGAACGATTGATTGAAATTTGATTTCATTATGAACCTGTGATGCATATTCCCCCCACCTAGGCAACCGCCCATCCACACATCCTTCAACACCACCCGGCTTTCCCACAGAGTTTTGTGCATCTCAGTAGATAATTGGATTTCGAAAGGTCCTTCGTTCGTAGTGTATTGTGTTTTGGGTATTGTGCTTTTCTTCACTTCCAATTAGTTATGGAATTTCTGCTGTATTTAAATTTTTGTATCCCCCAGTTAGTCTTATCGGAATGTGTAAGTTAAGAAGGGCGGTTGGTTTCTGGGTGGTAGCATCCCAGCATCCAACATTTCCCGAGGAAATTAAGCCGCTTATGGCCGGGCCTTTCGGTTCCCTTTTGTTTTTTAATGCTCAGCCATGCTCCTGCTCCTTTTGGGCCAAAAAATATTACTCGGTTGCCATTCCACTTAAGATTCCGCTGGCCAAGTGCACTTGTGCCGGCCACAAATGGCAATGGCTGCGGCGTCTGTCGCGCGTATTTAGCATAAAAGGTGCGGCCAAGGCTTTTGATGTTCGCCAGACTCAGACCCTCGACATTGTTGATATTTTGCATCAAAATTCTGACAAACTTGTTCGGCGGATGGCGGAAGGGGATTACGGGGAGGGGGTGGCTAGATCCGAAGCGGAAGTGGCGACATTTTAGGATGTCACTCCGAGTTTGAGGTCGCCGCAAAGTGCGCAACACAATTTGCATAATGCCCGGTGGGACGGATGGATGTGGCTGCGGATGTGGATGTGAATTTGGATGTGGATGCGGTGAAGAGCGGGGAGGGGAGATGCTGAATGCGGTATCAAATTTGGTCTACGTTTTGGGTTGCTGCACTGAGGGAAAAATTAAATTTAAAACTGTATTTCAATTACAAATATTATGGTAGAAAATAATTTATTTATTTCCACACAGAAAAAATTATCAAAAGTTTTAGGTGCAAAATAAGGGGTGAAACATTTTAAAAAGTAAAACGTTTCATACAAATTCATTTTACTTTGCATTTTTAAAACGTTTTCATTTTTATTTTTAAAAACTTTTTTATATGAAAACGGCACCTAAAACGTTGTATAATTTTCTCTGCAATTTAGTAGTCAACTCAAATCTATCAAAAATCCTCGAAAGCTAAATTCAGAAAAGGCCTGGAATAAACAAACCTAAATCCTGAATTTAAAGAAATAAAACGCTTAAAAATTTAGTTAGCCATAGACATAGACCATAATAAATAATTATTAAATAAACAAAGATACTGAATAAATTTTAATAATATTAAAGAAATATTTTATGGAATGTAATCGAGTTCAAAATAAATTCCCCGCATTCCCCATTTTCTCACAGTGCATGCAAATGAGTGCGAGATGAACAAGCAGGCGGTCCTATCTGCGTCAGTATTGGTTCAGGACTTGTTCGGACAGTAATACCCCACATTGTTATACCTTACATATCCCAGCACACTTCCCACCCCCGAGAACGCATCATGCCCGGGGATACGATCCAGAAATCGCCCAGGACGAGCCGGGAGAAGGCCGAGAAAAAGAGGAAGGACGAGGAGAAGGCGGCGTACGAGCAGAAGTGCGTGAGCGATTTCGAAAGGATTCAAAGGATCGACTCGATGCCCCGCCACGGCGACACCTTCTGGCGGACGGACACCCGGATGTCGGCGGCCAAGCTGAATGGTCTGTGGATGCTGAATAACTGCAACTACAACAAGGGACTGGCCTTTACACTGAACGAAAGACGAGTGCTGTCGATCCACGGCCTGCTGCCGGTGGCGGTGCGAACCATCGAGGAGCAGGTGATGGCCTGTGCCCAGACCATCGAATCCTTCAGCACCCACATGCAGCGCTACATGTACCTGACTTTCCTGTCCCGTCGAAATAGACGGCTGTTCTACTACCTGCTGCTCAGCAATCCCGATCGCTATGTCCCACTCACCGATGCCAATGGGTCGCTGGAGGCCCTGCAAATCCACCGCTTGCTGCACGCGGTGGGCCACGGCCTGTTCATCTGCATCAAGGACCTGGGTCACATTCCCCAGATCCTGGCCAATTGGCCGACCCGCCTGGTTCGCTGCCTGCTGGTGAGCAATGGGGCTTCTGTTTTGAGCCTGGGCGACCTGGGTGTCGACCAGATGCCCGTGCTCCTTTCGAATATCCACCACAGCGTGGTCTTTGGCGGCATCCATCCGGATCACTGCTTGGCCGTCATGCTGGATGTGGGCACCAACAACGAGCAGCTGTGGCAGGATGCGGCCTACACGGGTCTCAAGGAGCCCCGGGCCTCGGACGAGCTGTACGAGAAGTTCTTCGAGGAGTTCACCCTGGCGGTCATTCAGCAGTACGGCTCCCACGCCCTCATCCTCTGCAAGGACTTTGAGGCCCATAGGGCCAAGAGGCAGGTCGAACTCTACCGTGCTCGCCAGTGCATCGTGGACGTGGACTTCCAGTGCCTGGCTGCCGTGGCCTTGGCCGGAGTGATTGTGTGCAATCGCCTGAAGAGGGTCTTCTTCTCGGCCAACACTTTTCTGTTCTACGGCGGCGATGCCATCAACATTGGCATGGCTAGACTTTGCATGGCCCTGCTGAAGAGGGAGGGCATCATCGAGATGAAGGCCCGCGAGCGAATTTGGTTCTTCGATGCCAAGGGATTGGTGGTGATGAACAGGCCGGATATTCCGGAGGAGCTGCTGGAATTCGCCAATCCTCGAGAGCCCATCGCCGGCCTGGTGGAGGCTATTCAGGAACTGAAGCCCAACGTACTGGTGGGTGGATCCTCGCAGCCGAAAAGCTTCACGCCAGATGTCCTGCGGGCCATGGAGAAGAGCTCCGATCAGCCGGTGATCTTCGCCTTGTCGCGACCCCGCGAACAGGCCGAGTGTTCGGCGGAGGATGCCTTTTCCTATACGAAGGGCCGCTGCATCTTCATCTCGGGCTCGAAGCTGCCGCCGCTGAAGTACGCCAACAGGTGGTATCAGCCGGGTCACTGCACCAGCAGCTACTTGGTGGCCGGCCTGAGCTGCGGCGTCATGCTGGCCGGCTTTACCACCATTCCGGACGAGGCCTTCTGCGTGGCCGCCGAGCGATTGGCCAGCCTCGTCTGGCCCTGCGACCTGGAAAAGCGGAACGTCTACCCGCCGATGCGGAAGATTCAGTGCATCAGCCTGCAGATGGCCGAGGCCATCTTCACGTACGCCTTTCGACGCGGCCTGGCCACCCTGTGGCCGCAGCCCGAGAATCCCATGGAGTTCATCAAGGCCTCCATGTACACCGCCGAGTACCGCATGAATATCGTCGACGTTTACTGCATGCAGAACCGCAGTATCGCCACCACCGAATCCCGCAAATACTACACGCTTAACATCTAGGACCTGTACTTACTTAGGGACCATTATTAAAACGAAGTGAACCGAAACAGGGGATTGGGGATTGGGGAATGGGAATGGAAATGGGATTAAGGGGCGCTCTAACTGGGGGCAAATTGCATGGCATATCATGTCTAATAACAGTTGTTTGCCCGGTCTGCATATTGATTTCGATTCGAACCAAAGTCGGAGTACAAGTACGCCGGCGGGCAATTAATTGCATGCAATTTTCATGTGTCAACTCATGCTGTGTGGCCATAGCATATGTACACTGATAATAAAATCATAAATTTTAGAAATATTTGAATACAAATATAACTTATTAAATTGCACGATTAAATTTGAAAATATTTGAATCAAGGTCGAAAATATTACATTCGATGTTAGTTATATAAATTTGAAATATTTTAAGTCATTTAAAACAAAAAATGTCATATTCAAATCAAAGTCGAAAATATTTAAATAACTATAACTTTTGTATAAGAATTTTCATATTTAGAATTTATAAAAACCAATGGGGAAAGCAGAAAAATATTTAACTTGAATATATGAAATATTTGGACATACTACGTTTTTATCAGTGTATGTATGGAGGGGTGCTCTGTCCTGGCTGGTTTCTGAATTCCCCAGTGACTGCATTCGAAACTATCGCCGTACGACAATAAAATAATTGAAACAACCACCATGAAATGGTAGGAAACATGGCCACAACAAAAATGCAGACAAATTAAATTGCACGAGTGTTCGAGTGTTTGAGTGTTCGAATGTTCGAGTGTGTGCGTCTGGCTTTGACAGGTGTGCGTCTGAGCGAAAGCATGATATTCCATTCCATTTATCAATTCGCAAAATGAAATGCAACCCAGCATTGTGTCCCTTTGTCACATTTGCCATTATTTGCTTAGGTTTTTTACTGCACTTTCCGGCTTTCGTTTATCGGTTGGCCTTTTGGCATGAATGGAGCCCAGATGGAATTTTCATTAGCCACTTATTTCTACACATATGGCTAACTCGACTGTCATTGATTTTCGATTTTATTGGGCTTAACTGGAGAGGTATTTTTCACACTATGTAGGACCCCAGGATATAACTTCATAGCCAATCGCTTTTAGGTCCTGGGCATCGATGGAATGTGACGAGAGCTCGCGAACCACGCTCTGCACATTAGAGGTTTTCTGGAATCAGAGATCAAATTATAACAGCTAGAATTTTGATTGACAGAGAAAAATCGACAAATGTAAATGATACTTTTTAACAAAATAAAATGTTTTAACTTGTTAATAAACCTTTAAATGCATTAATCTATGGCTAACTCGAACGAATAGATCGGCTTTATTGAATTTAGTGAATTTAGTTTATAATATTTTCTAATTTTTCTAAATTTATTAAGAATTCTGAGAATACCAAATCTTTACCTACAAATCTGTATTATCTTTTTTTCTCTGTGGTTTCAATAATGTCTCTTACCCAAGCCGCTTCCGCTTTTGTCTTGAATTCTGCACTTCTCAATGCCTCATAGAACTGGGCAAATATAGCACTTTTCTGACGTTTCTCATTGATCAAAGCCACAAAACGATCGCGGGGCAGATGAGTAAGTAGCTCCTGGACAAAGCTGGTGAAAGAACTCAATTGCTTGGTCTCAGAGTTCGGTTGAAGCAGCACCATGATAATCTCCTCTTTGAGATCATCTTCAACTGACCTCCGGAACCGGTTGTAATAGTACAGAGGCTGCCAGTACTTTTGTTTTTTTACTTGGACCGTATCATTGAGGTGCACAAAATTAATCAGATCCACCACTTCTGGCAGAGCCTCAATGCGCTGTTGTAACCTCTTGAAATCGGAGCTGCGCAAAAACTTTGCGGCTTTGCGAAAACCAGAGTCCGTAATCATGTGCTCGGCGACTAGTTCGTCGATTGTAACAGTGGGAATCAGTTTTTCAAAGTCTTTTAATTCGCTTATCAGCTCCGGAGAGTATTTGTACTTCCTGTAATAGCGATACTTTCCCGAAACTAGCACAAGGCCAAGGAGAATGAATTGAAACGCCCGCCGCAAAGTTGACATTTTTCCAACTTTCTCCTCGAATCTTTGGTTTATAATCAATGCTCCTCGTTCAACGGTTTGTTTATAACTACTTGCTCAAATTTTTCTAATATGAGATTAAATTTTAAGCTTTGGTATGGCTTTTACTCTTTCTAAAATTCAGATACTTGATTTTCATAAACAGTTTGTAAATGATAGAAATTAATATTTAAAACATTATAATTATACTCACAAAATAATTAAATTTTCTTTGCTGTTACTTAGCTTATATTGTAATCAGCATGATATTTTATATCAACTATGGCCAGATATGAAATTAATTTATAGTTACTAAATAACTAACCCATACTTACCAATAATTTTTCAGATGTGGAAAGAGTATTAGAATGTCAAGACTATCACTTTCAAGACTCTCTTCTTATCGCTCTTTTTCGCTCACGTTCTGCTCTCCAAAACATTGCTCATTTAAAATAAATAAAGGCTGAGTTCCATGAGCATTCGAAGTCGAATTCGACTTAGAACAGTTTCCTTTGTTCCCCATTTTACAGTCGCCTCCCCAAATAAAAGACCACACAATCGCTGGTTTTGCTTATTAAAGAATCTTATCACATTTATTTACTGCATTTTACTTTTTATGTGTTTACACCTAATTTGTTTCTGTTATTCTGATTTTGTTGTTTTCGGAAATATTTCGATAGCTCGTGAATCAATCTGCGTCTGAAAAGTTTCGAATGGAACCTTGAGTTGGGTATATTCGAATGATGGTTAAGCGCAAATCTTCTTTTATTGTATCAATACTTTGTAAAAGTCGTTTATCTATTTATGTATATATATATATTTACCGTGAATATTTGTTTACTTTGTATTAATATTTTTACAGTGAATTGTTCGTTAAATACTCAATTAATTTTAATTTCCGTCTCTAATTGCCGCATTGGCAATTTTTTGTCATATTTTCTGTGTGTTTTTTCCGAGTTTCCAGTTAATTTCCTCTTCTCTTTGCTTTTGGTTTATTTTTACTCAACATCATGTGATTGTCATACAAAACATTTCACATAATCTCAAATTATTTACAATAAATGTCTAAACAAAAGAACTCTACTAAAGGCAACGCAAAAACATTTCATCCATTAAAGTTAGAAGCTCAGAGCATTAGTAGCTTTTAAATATCTGTTGTTTAATAGTTATCTTCTTGTGGTTTTGGTTTAGTTCATTTACAATGGCAATGTTTTTTTTTTTCATTTTTTTGTTCGGTAAGTCCTAAGATGAAAACATTAAAAACTGTTGCAGAGAAAATCTTTAGAAAAATATTTAGAGAGTGGGTGTGGGCGAGGGTAATGCTCAAGATGTTCTATCCATTATCCCTTTCTTTTTTTTTTTGTTGTTATCCGTTGAACAAACCTATTTTGGTTTTGAGTTGAGTGAAGCGTTTGGGTTTTCCTTGATTTTTGCTACATTATGGCAGTTTTCGCGGATATAAATATGATTTCTAAATGCAACGAGTAGTGTTTTTGTGTTTTTTGTTGTCGATTTTGTTTCGTGTCAATGAATATCTGCAGTATTACTAAAAACGTATTTACTTGCCACACCAACTTACCTACGCTATTTACGGGTAAGTAATCATGAGCATGTTGGTCTCAATGCAGTAACTTCATGTGTCTATATTTATTTATAAGTACGCATATGCATATATAACTATGTATTGCTTATCGTAAACATTAGGCCAACGCACAATCTATACAAGAGCGAGTTAATGCCGAATACAGAACTTCAAATAAAAATCGGAGCCGAGTAAAAGTCGAAATCATTGCTGGTTTATAAGTACTTATCGTCTAAAGCTCTCCTATGTACAAGTCGCCCTAAGCTATATAGTCTAAACATATAGCCGTTATGCTGTGCGTCGATTGTTTTCCGAAACATCATTTCCGTTCCGTTTCTGGTTTTGGCTATCGTAATAAGTTGGTTCCGTACTTGTCTATGACCTAAACAGGGGCTGCTATTCGTGTTTATGTATACCTTAAGCTAGTTTAGTCGAACAAATATGGCTAAGTAATATACAAATTCGTTTAAGATCGTCCCAACCCCAAATCCAAACGCAAAATGGCCAAGCGACGAGTTGCCGGAAACGGAACCAAATCGAAATCAAAATCAAATCGTTGCGCCCATGAGCTTGGTTAATACCTTAATACTTTGCCTTAGGTCAGATTCTCACTTAGGTGGTGCAGTTCCATCTGTTTCTGTATCTGTATCTTTTTCCGTATCCGTATCCATATCTGTATCTGTTAGATTAGCTTAACCTTAGCTCGAAATAGAAATAGTTTCTTCTGTAAGTGTCTTTGTGTGAGTGTAAAACCGTAATTTCCATTTGACTTATGGCAGGATCCTTTTGCTAGTAACTTTTCTCGTTTACTCCATCTTTGTATATCAGTTAGTTAATGTCGAAAATTATTCAGTTTGACGCTGACAACATCTCAAAACGAAACGAAAGTATGACCAAAAAACGCATCGAAATTATCGGAAATATTGTCGATTTTAAAAGCTTAAAAATTTCAGTCTTTGTAGTGGTTTTTCCTTTTTCCCTCTATCTTTTTTGTTTTTTTTTTGTTTTGTTTTTCCTCAGCTCGGCCCTTGTCACATTTTGATAGTTGTTCTCCGCATTTTCCTTGGGTGCTTACTGCTTTTCTGCGCCTGCAAACAGAACGAACCGAAATAAAGCAAATATGTTTAGATATATAGAAAGTGAGATTGAGTGGGCAGCAGTAGGGAAGTAGGGGAAAAAGTGGGAAAAGGGTGGTTAGTGTGGGTTGTCTTACATGGGCACTCAACTTACATTTACATTTTAACTAGAAACTTTAGAAGCGAGCAAATATGGTAAGCACGAACACGAAAATGTACAATTTGCGGTGGGCGGTGGCCACGCCCTCCGTTGACGACGACAAGAACTCAAAGCTGTACAAGTACTCTGGGCAGCGGCAACAACAATTTTTGAGGGGCATCAGCAGCAGCCGAGGGGGCGGGGGGATGGACAAAGGACATTTTTGGTTAGATTTCGTCAGGGTCTAAACTACTACTACGAAAAGTACAACTACTGGTTATGCTGGGACAGATGATGATGATGGTTGGGTGTACTGTGAAAAAACGCGTCTTATATCAAGAATTTATTTAAAGGAATAATGTTTGACTTATAATCGTGTATTTTATATTCTTTTTCTCCAATATTAGCGAACTAAAAAACATGTAATTTAAAATCTTCCTAAAAGGTGCCGAAAAGTATGCACCATACATTTAACTTTCTATCATCGTTTATTTATTACTGAAAATTAAAATTAATTCTCGATAGCAGTAGTATTTTTTTCACAGTGCTCTGATTATGCAGGGACTAGCATGTTGTCCTATATATTATGTGTTTCAAGGATACTCACTTCTGGGTCAGACCAAAGCATCATTGCTGAACACATCGTTCACGTGCTTGCCGTTGCTGCTGATTGGTCCTGTTTTATCCTTGAGGCCGCATTGCTAATAAAAGGAAAATCGAAAGAGAGAGAGAGAGGGGGAAAACACTTAGATCTCTGCCAGCGAATTACAAAATAATTAAAACTCAAAAAGCACCCCCGCACCTGACGCCCAAAAATTAATTAAAACAATTAACGGCAGCTGGCGCCCAAGCCAGAAATATAATTCCCATGGGTACGCACCTCCTGTTTGGCCTGCCATTGCTTCATGGCCGATTTGTATTTCTCGAACTCGTTGCACCAGTGCGAGTAGATTTTCTGGTAGTCCTGCTTCTGCGACGGCGGCGAGCATCTAGATGGTGAAAAGCGAACAATAAGTTTTTGACATTTGGCGGAAATTAGGCTGGAGGGGTTGGATATCACGTGCAGACAGTGCTGCCAAGTCAGATATTTTGTAATTTAACTACGAGGCAGTAGGTAATCAAGAAATCTATGTTATATACGTTGATAAAGTCTCTGAGTTTTTAAATCGGATCATAAGCTTCTTTAAACTTAAAAGTTGTATTATTACTCTTAAAAATTAAATTCAATTTATTAAATTAAATTTCAATAAAGCTTAGACTTCAATTTCTGTATAACGTTAATGTTAATTTTATCGCTTATTACAGTTTTATCTCTAAAGATTATTTAGCTAAGTAAAGTAAAGTTGTAAATTATTAGTTTTTAGCTAAATTAAAAAAAATCTTGAAAATTCAACTTAGCATACCTACTTTAGCATAGAGATTTCTACAATTATAGGTATTCATTTGACTCGCTAGGATAGTTGTATTAGTATACAAAAATAAATAAACTAATATAATAAATATGTGTTTAATTTCTTAGATTAAGGGATGTTGCCATCTTCTTTTGGCAGCACTGGCTGACTTCCTAACTGGTAATTTTCGAGCTGACTCACCTGTGGGCGTCCACGGTGACGCCGTAGCTGCAGAGCAGGGTGCCATCCAAGTAGCTGTCGTACCGCCCGCCGTCGCCCTCGTTCACCGCCAGCAGGACCAGGCCGCCCTCGTTCGTCTCGATGTATTTGGTGGGCGTGTAGCGAACCTCGTAGCTGCCAGACAGAGATGGGAGACGAGAGATAGGGACAGATGTAGAGAGATGGCTTTTCAGATGGCGCTGCCGCGATAGCGCAGGGGATTTTCCATTTTCTATTCGCATTGGAAACGCACAATAAAAATCAATATAAACTGTATGCGCGGGACTTCGCTCGCACACAGACCCCACCCGACTATTGGGTTGGAAAGTTGAAAGTTTTTCCATTACTTGGGCACCGGCAGCAGCGTAAACGCCAAAAAGCAGACTTGGAGCGCATTTTAAAGTGTCAATTTACCGCAGCATTGGCACGGCTAAGTGAGATGAAGCGGCGTTTCGCTTACACATTTTCCCTTCCCTTCCCCTCCATTATTCGCTTTCAATTTTACCAGAGATCTGCGATTCGGATAGACACCAATGTGGTGGGGTTTTCCACAAAAACTCAAAATACAATGGTCTTTCGCTTTTAAAGTGATTTGTTCGAAACTCTGCAGTTGGGAAAGTTTGTTTAAACTGATGGGTTTGGATGTTAAAAATCATCAAGCTGTCAGGGCAAACCTATAGTGCCAAAAAGTTTAGTTTTTCTAAAATGTTTTTGAACAAATTAAATTTTGAAGATGGTAAACCAAAGATTTTGAGTGGGCGCATTTATATTTTCTTTTTTGTTAAGTGATCAAATTATTTTGGAAACACTCACCGTCCTTTTTCGGTGGAGTGATGGTACCAGCGCGTCTGCTTCTTCCTCAGAACCTCCGGCATTTTGACAAAGCAGGAGAGGTGCAGGGTCTGGCCGTACGAGGAGGTGACCTTCTTTCGCAGGATGCTCGTATCGCAGATCCCGGACGTCTCGTTGGCCACGTCCTGCAGGAGGCCCAGCTGATAGGGTCGGCAGGCCTTGACGTCATCGTCCCAGCCGCAGTAGGGATCCGCCACGCAGCGGAAGCAGCTGTCGTAGCGCCGGGCACACATGGCAATGTCGATCTGCTTCACTTGGTGATCGGTGGCCAGGTACAGGGATCCCGTCTTCTGGCTGAGGGTCAACTCCCGGATGGGTTCGTTGTGCGGCGAGGCCTCGAATACGTCCACCAGGTTGGAGTGCCGCTGGCCGTAGTGCATGAACTGCACTATCTTGTAGATGTGACCAGACGTCGTGGCCACAAAGTACACTAGGAACTCCTGGTTCAGCTTGTCGATGCGTATCCTGCGGGAGAAACGAGGCAAAAAAGCCAGGAGAAGCAGCGTCAGTGGCAAGCGCTTAACTGAAAACACATCCTGCGGCACTTTGTTCACAAGTTCCGGCCAAGACAAAACATTTTTCGCTGTCAGGACAACTGACAGCACAGAGCCAGCCCAGGAGTCTGTGCACTGAACAAAAGAGGAATGGGAAACTAAAAGATAAAGATTCTCAAGAAGGCCCTATTTCGGGTTTATAAATGTTCTTAAGAATTTATACAACAATTTTTAGTTTAAGCCTAAATAAAAATCATACGCTTAAAAAGTCTGTTGTAAGATTCAAAACGCCCATCTATACATTTAAACGCCCATCTATAAATCATTTCTTCTATTTTATTTAATTGATTTTAATTTAAAGCTTTTTCTTCCTGGAGTTGTGAAATCCTTTTAATTTAAGCCTAACAGTATGCAGTGATTTGTTTTGGAGGCATGTTATTTTCTAAAGCATACTTTTAGGAACTCTTTTATTTAGTTTCAAACCTCAGAAAATTTATTTCAAGACCACCTTTAACTATAAATATATTTTCTAATAAACAAATAATAACCTATTAAGTTTCAGTGCAACACTACATTTGCCGGGACAAATGTCAACAGGGAAACTCCCATGCGGCTGGCTCCTTGCCAGACCGACAGTCTACTGCCAACAGCCAGTTGGCCGGCGGCGCTAATGAATACAGCTCTCACTTACTTGTCCACCACCAGCTTGGTGAGTATGACGTCCCGCTTGAAGAAGACCGGATTGCCAAATTCATGATCGACCGCCTTGTCCATTAGCGGATGTTTGCGAATGAAATTCAACACGGAGTCGGGCAGCGTGGCGGTGTCGTTGTGGCAAGTGCCCGGACGTGGCTCCGGTACTTTGGAGTTCAGCACGGGCAGCCAGGCGCTGTTCGAGGTGGCCTGCTCCTTGAATTTGCCTGGATATATGGGGAAACACAGATGTAGAGGGTGAAAAGGGAGGCATCAGTATGGAGTTGAGTGCCGGGGAATGCTGCACTTAATTTATGTGTGTCAGTACTGCGCGAGACCTGATTTGTGGCACTCGCACTCGGTAAATAAAAAATACGATTTAAGAGTCGCAGTCAGAGCTTTAATGTTCATGCAGGGGGCAACAGGAATAATCGAGATCGGACAGTATTTTTAATTCTCAAAGACGGCTAATTGAATTAACTTTGCTTTTCAGGATGAAGGAAGGATTAAATCTCGAATTGAAATGAATTAACTTTTGCTTTAAAACTTAAACTTTAATACACATTTACCAATCAAGAACTGTCGATATTTTATCTTTTAAAATTATATTTAAATATTTGTAATAATTTCAGAAAGGCATATTGTCATTCCATTTACAAATAAATTCTATGAATATGATAAATCAAAAAGCAACGTGTCTGGAATCTCACTAATAGATGACATATTTTTATTAAATTTCCCAGCCTCTGTCATTTTGGATTATATTTTCGAAATTTTCAGTGTCCTGCATGAACATTATTACGTGACAAGTATTTCATATAATTTAAGAATCACATTCTGGCCTTCGAGTGCGGCAGCATAATCGTTTGTGGCCATAATTAATTGCTGTGGCTTTCCACATTTTTTCCGTTTTATTTTTTATCACACTCGCTGCTGTCTGTGCAACATGCCCGCAAACTTTTCGTAATGAATTTTAAGTGTATGCCAGATTTTTTGCAGCACTTTGCCCGGTGGCAGTGTCTGTGTGGATCTGTCTGCCCGATTGTCTGGCCGTCAGTCTTGGCACCGCTCCACACTCGCAGCGAGACCCCAACTTTATGGTGTTAATGAACTTTCCGGGCCAAGATGGGTTAAAAAAGAGTGCTGGCGGTACTCATTACTTGGGCCGAAGGGCGCGGTTCGCAGTTAAAGAAATTCAACTTGAATGTGAGACTGTTTCAATAAAAGAGGAGGGCTGATGCCACCCCCCCATCAATTCAGTGCGCACCATTTAACGCTCAAATTCCAGGGACAAGGCCTCCACCTGTGCGCGTAATTCCATCCGCAGTCGCCGGAGAAAAGGGAATCCCCCGGAAGAATTATGGACAGTGCAATAAATCACACGAGCATCCCCACACACATCTACATCTACAGTGGGCACTCACCGTCGAAGGCCGCGTTGATGTCCCGGATGTCGTAGCTGCAGACTGCCGATCCAATCAGGCCATTCGTATTCGTTGTGAACGTGGCATAGAACTTGGTATCGTCCGTTGGCATCTTGTAGACCGATTGTATCTCGTTGAAGTAGAACGGGAATTCGCTGGAGATGCTGCAGTTCATGCGGGCCTTCAGATAGGTCGCCCAGTTCTGGCTGATCATGTACTTGCCACCCCTGTCGTTCTTGCAAACGCGAGCCACTCGCGAGTAGACAGCCTTTCCACAATTTATGTACTCCACGGCATGTTCGCGGAAGAAGAAGTATACGAACTCGCCAATCTCAAAGGAGCCCACAAAGTTGGGTTCTGAAAAGGTGAAGGAATAGAAATTCTATTTTTTAATGGGTCCTTTAGGACTTGAGGCATGAGAAGCTTACAACTGATGGATGGTAAAATATTTATCGAAGAATTCTTAGTTCTTTAAAAAATTACACCAAATTTAATCAGTAAGGCTCAGATGACACATTTAATTTTTAGCCTCAATTTATTGTGACAATTTTTCATTTGTGTAAGTTTAAAGAAGTGCAAGCGGGTCAGGATTCATATACGCGAGCCATATACTGAGCCTAACGAAAGGAATACCATATTGTACATAAGGTATATTTCTTTTCAATATAATAAAATTAAAAATAATAAATTTAATGATTTCTTTCCATCAATTGGTTAATTTTATTTCGGGTTACTTATTTCCACAACTTACTGTCCAACAGCTTGGAGTCGTATTTCACGGTTCTCTTGAAGTTGGCCTCCTTGCGTCCATTTGTCAGGTTGTACAGGTCCGAGCGGAATATGACGGAATCCGCCTTGGTGAACTCTGCATTCGTGCCGGCGTACTGCATTTTTTGCGACGGTTAAGGGCAGCGGGAAATGGATAAAAAGCACACAGACATACTTAGTTAGCAAAAGGGCAACTGTTGATAAGGCTCGAACATCACGCATACGCCCAGTAAGCCAAGGCACGCACGCACACAATTACGCATAAAGTGTACGCACGTGCCCACCCCCCTTTTGTGCGTGTATGTGTGTGTGTGTGCGTTTGAGCATGCCTTTGCTCTAATTTAATTTCAGCTGTTTTATTGCTGCCTTTCTCTGTTTTTGCCGTCTTTAAAATTTTCTTGCCTCGTCCCAAACACAACTTTGCCAACTTCCTTCTTCCTTTGGCCCCGCTTTACTTTTGTAATTTTATTACAATTGACATTTTTCTTTTTATTTGTGCCTTCCTTTATCCGTACTTTTATTCCACTTCCGCTTTTCGGGTCGAACTTACCAGGGCGGGCAGGCCGAAGGGATTTCCGTTCTCCACATAGACGGCGGTTGAGTTGTCAGCAGGATCGTAGGGACACTTGCCAATGCCCAGGCCAACGCCGGGCACGTACTGGGATCTGGGTAAATGTGTTAAGTTCGCCTGAGGGTGGTTGTGGGAATTTCCAGGGGGGGTGGCGTTAAAGAAGAAGAGAGAGCGCATTAGTTGACTTTAATTTTGAACGCCCGCTGGGCTGAAATGAACTTCAAAAACTTGACTGACATTCACAATTAGGCACATTGATGAAGTCGCTGAGAAAATCCTTTTTATTCATCGAGAAAAAAAAAGGATTTTTAATTTATGTGTAAAGTTTCAAATGGAAATATTTAGAAATCTCTAAAGATTTAAAAAAGGTTAAGAGAGTGTCTAAAAGTATGCAATGAAATATTGTGACTAACGAACTTTTCATCAATTACCAAGTGTCATCAAGCCATCAGCTTTTTTCTCTCAGTGCACTTACATTTATTACGTAATCCTTGGGATTGTGGGCGTTGGTTCCGCAGACATACAGCTTCTGGCCATTGAAGTTCATCGGCTGGATAACCCTTATGTGATTGCGGCATTCCACCTTCTTGTCAAGCGCCAGAAAATGCAATTGCATTCGATTTGGTTTTTGTGTTTTGTGTAATTGTAATAAATGTTAGAAAATAATAGTCGTAAGGAAATCATACGGCGGTTTTTGTGGGTTTTGTGGATTTCGAAATGCAAATGGAAATGAAAGGGGAAAGGGCCGTGGCATGAGTAAAGTTCACAAATTCGTTGATATCGATAGAAAATTTTGAGCATGCTTTGAAGGGGTTTTTTAGTGGTTAGTGGAAATCGCAGGCAGACTCACCTCCCGTTTGCCCTTGGACACACAGTTCAGGATATCCGATCCGGTGGGCTCCAATATGAGGACATCGCGCTGAAAGAATGAGAAATGGCATCGGGTTTAAATTTATGTTAGCCAAGTTTATTGAAAGCGTGCTGGAATGCGATGCCGGGGATGTTGAGACCAAGGGCACGCGCCACAATTTTTGGTACACTCGCATGTCGCGTTTTTATTTTCTTTACATTCTGTATGTGTCTCACGTTGGACATTTGTTTATTTAATTCGATTCGATTCGCTCCTCCCTTTTTTTTTTTGGTGGCACTTGAATCGACATCGAATCTCCTTTCGGGGTTTGCCTTGCTGCAAATACTTTTGCCTAAGTGAAAGCCACAAATCAATGACGCGGGAGAAAAGGAGCCATCGACTGACAATTTTTATGCTTGACATATAGACACAATATCCGGTGCCTCCGTGGGATGCACTTGCCACTTTTATTTCCACTTGCCCGGAGTGTCGGTCCCTTTTGGCCGGGCCCTAAGTGCTGGGACTCGACTTGAAATGGAATTCCTTTTGGCCGCCGCCCGCCCAGAAGTCAGCACAAATAATTGCTCTTAAAAGCATTTGCTACGTCTCAGGACTCGGGAGGTGGCGAAAGTGCACTGGGCTAAAGACTGCTCCTTACAAGAACGAAAAAAGTGGCGGAAAATGCTCGGACGGAGCGAGGCGGATATTGATAGTTGAAGATGGAATCATTAAAGAGCAATTGCGAGCTGTCAGTGACAAGTTGGTCACTCACAAATGCAAAGGGTGGGTGTGGTTCTTAAAGGCACTCGTTTCTTCAGCCTTCAAGCGGCCATGAAATCATCGATTTTAATTTCGAAATGTGACCCGGAAATGCAGATAAAAGGGGAGGTTTTTATGAATTTATATGAAGAAGGGCTCTCTTAATAAGAGATAATAAATATAATATTACATTTCCATTTCCTTTGAAACCCCTGGAGTTTAACAGTCTTTTATAAAGATGCACAAATGTATGCAACATTTTTTTTCGAATTTCATGAAATTTGGTGATATACTGCTTTTTAACTTGATAGCTGGGGAAGAAAACCACATAATTTGGTACTTATACATTTAATTATAATATTTCTTTAAGGTGTGGGAAGATTATTAAGATTAATTATTATTTATTGTCCTTACCTCGCAAATAGATTGGCTGATGTTGCGCAGATTGAGCCGAAATATGCGATCCCTGGAAGAGAAGAGCAATGAAATGAATTAGCATGGCGAAGAGGAAAACTTTGTCAGAAACTCGACTGCCGAGTTAATCCCCTACTCGTGCCCCCTCATGCGATAAGATAATGCCACACCAGTTGCCAGCTGTCTGGCCCCCGGTAAACTTGGGCTCATTGACATTTTTTCAGCTTTTCTTCTGGTTTGAAAAATCGTTGTCAGCCGCACACACCTGCTGTGCCCTGAGCTGTCGGGCCTGCCAGCGTACTTATTGCAGTCAGTGTTGGCCCCTGATTGATTGATATGTCGAATGTGGCAATATTGCCAGCCAGACACAACTTTAAGCGCTGCCAGGCAGCCCATCTCCATCGCCATTGCCATCGCCGTTTTCCGGCCACTCGAAACTTTTGCGGCGGCCCGGAAAACAAAAGGAAAGCGGCGCAAAGGGCAGTGGCGCTGGTCTAAAGTGTGTTTTATGTAGTTACTGCCAGAGTTTTTGGTAGCTTTCCCTCGACAACTGCTAGACCATTAATCTTCATTTCCCTGCCGGCTCTAGGAGCCCTGCAATCGCTGACGAGAGCCGCCAGCTGTGGTTGGTGGATCGCTGGTGCGGAGCGTCGCCTCGGTGGCTCTCAAGTCAAGTGGTAATTTTGGTTACTTTGTTTGCCCGCTTTTAGGAGCCCCACCCTTAAATTTTCCTTGGGTTTTTCCGGACTCCTCCGCAGCCGCAAAACTGTGAAAATGCGGCCGTGTTCAACTTGCCGCAGACAAATGAGCAGACGGGTGCGCTCCTTGTCAAATTGCAGAGCCCCCTAGACTCTTTCGCCCCTCGTCGGTGGCATTAATTCATAATTATGTATGCCGACAGTGTGGCCAAGACCCCGGGAAAAATGAAATATGCAGCCCCAAATGCGTTCGGTTTGCCAAGTAGGGGGCCACATGCTGTCTCAAGCGGAACTTTCTAATTGTCTGCAACCGGAAAGGAAAGTTTCCCAAAGCTATGGCATATTTTTTCACATTTAAAGGGGTTTATTAGCTCTAAATATTTATTGCTGCCCGCTAATAACTATTTACATTAATAGTTAATTGTGCGGTTTCAAGGTAAATAGGAAATAAATTTTAAATCAAAGGGGAAGGTATACTTACATGGCGCCCACGTATAGGGCATTATTGTGCTCATCCATATAGAAGGTCTTGTAGTGCAGCGGGCCGCAACTGAAGTCCTTGACATGATCTGCAAGAAGAGAGAACAAGATTGAGTATACGCACCGGGTACTTTGATTAACAAAAGTTGAGGCAGTTAATTAAAGCCTAATGAAACTGTCAGCAGCAGTTAGGAGGGCCAAAAAACGAAATGAACTAATTAAACTATTATAATTTCGGCTCAACAAACACAAAGTTAATTTATGGGGGCCAGGGTAAATACAACAGGCTCCTCGTCTTCGTCCTCGTCCATGTCCTTGCACATTTGACACTGACAGTGTCACGTACTCCTGCCGGCGATGTCACGTGCTCAAAGCTGGAGTCCTGAAGGCCCTGGAGTCCTAAAGTCCCGGCCCCAAAAAAACACAAGTCGAAAAAGTTGCACCGCTGTCAATGTCATTAACAAAAGATTGAGGCATTTAGCTGAAATTTTTACGACATTAAGTTGTCAACTAATTTGGCACAATTAGTGAAACAACAAGAACACAGAGCACAAACACAAGCGCAGATCCCAGGCAAACACACACACACACATACACGCATACCCAAAATAAACGAAAGGACAGTGGGCAAGGACAAGTTTTTATTTTTGGGCCAAAGCCCGAGCAAATCCTTTGATGGCCGCGCTAAGAGTCATTTGTGCTGACTTGGCGCGCTCCTTCGTCCTGCGTCCTTCGTCCTTTGTCCTTTGGCCACTGGTCATTGACAACCCTAATGGCCGGCCAACAACAATAGCAGTTACAAAAGTGATTTCCATAATAATGCATAATGAGTGATAGATACGGAACTGTTTGTGACCTCATGCAAATTAGCCCCCATTTTTGGCACAATTGGCCTCCGAAATTTTCCGGGGCTTTGTTTCTCTTTTCCAAGTGAAAATTATTCTATTTGTGGTAATGGTTGTCCTATCAAGATTGTCCTGGATTCTTAACTTTAAGGCACTAAGTGTGTGGCCTTAACAATTCAAGTGATTAAGTAAACAAAAGAAAGAGGCTATGACCGGAAATTCACTTTATCCCCTAGCACTGAAATATTCAGAATATCACCCAAATTTTAGTCTTTCACTTTCAAGATGAGTTTCTTCAGAATATTGACCACTGGTTTTACCCGACGAACTTCGATTTCCAGGACACAGCAATCGAATGTCGAGAGCCATCGCAACTCCTGCAATCATGATACAATCCGTGTTCCCATTGAGGTGGTTCTCTCCGACAAGTGTAACAAGGTAAGATATAGGAAATCCATAGTAAGGGTTACTTATTACAACCTCGATCTCTATAGTCCCTGGCTTTCACTTTAGAGGAACGCCAGCGACTGTGCATCCATGGTCTCATGCCGGCCTGCGTTCGTTCCTACGAAGAACAAATGTTGGCCATCGAGTCGAACTTCCATTCGTTCGAAACGAATGTGGCGAGATATCGCTACTTGAGGGCCCTGCGTCAGGGCTACGAGAGGCTGTACTTCCAGTTCGTGTCCAAGAACGTTCAGATCGTGCTGCCCATTATATACACGCCCACTGTAGGCGTGGCCTGCACCATTTACGGGATGCTGTACCGCGGGATAACCGGCATACATATCACCAAGCACGATCGCGGGCATATAAAGCAGGTCCTGGGAAATTGGCCCGAGCAGAGCCAGGTGAAAGCCATCTGTGTGACGGATGGCGAACGCATCCTGGGATTGGGCGACCTGGGGGCCAATGGCATGGGCATTTCGGTGGGGAAAATGGAACTCTACACTGCGCTCGCAGGAATTCCACCCAGTTTGCTGTTGCCCATTTGCCTGGATGTGGGCACAAACAACAAGATGCTCCACGAGGATCCTTTGTACATTGGTCTACGCGATAAGCGAATGAAGGGCGATGAGTATGTGTCCTTTGTGGACGAGTTCATGGAGTCGGTGGTGGAGACCTTCGGCCGGGAGACGCTCATCCACTTCGAGGACTTTGCCACGCCCAATGCCTTCATGTTTCTGAATCGGTATCGCGATTGCTATTGCCACTTCAACGACGACATCCAGGGAACGGCCTCTGTGGGCCTCGGCGGATTGCTGGGCATCCAGCGGATAACCAAGAAGCCGCTGGAGGAGCACATCATCCTGTTCGCCGGCGCAGGAAGCGCTGTCATGGGAATCGCCTATCTGCTGAAGACGGAACTGATGGCCCGGGGATTCACCGAGGAGGAGGCCGCCAGGAACATTTATATATACGATCAAGGCGGTGCGCTGACCACAGGGAGAAGAGATATACCGGAGAACCTCGTTGTATTCGCCAAGGATATGAAGAAAATTAAGAAGCTGGAGAAGCTGGTGGAGAAGGTCAAGCCCTCGATTATAATGGGTGCCACCTCGGCCCCAGGACTCTTCTCGGAGAAGATAATACGAACCATGGCCGAGAGTCACGAGCGTCCCGGCATCTTTGCCTTCTCCAATCCGACCAATAAATCCGAGTGCACTGCCGAACAAGCCTACCAATTCTCGGATGTAAGTTTTCTATATCTGATCTTAAGATAATATAATTTTAGGGGTATTTTTCAGGGAAAGGCCATATTCTCGGCTGGTTCTCCCTTTCCGCCCGTGGAGTTCAACGGCAAGCGGCTCACTCCCGGCCAGGCCAACAACTGCTTCGCCTTTCCCGGCCTGGTTTTGGGCACAATGACAGTTTTGGCCGACAGAATGCCAGACGAAATCTTCCTTTTGGCCGCCCACGAGCTGTCGAAATTCCCCACGGACGAGGATTTGGCAGGAGGTCGTGTCTATCCGCTGGTAAAGCAGGCCAATGAAGTGGCCTTGAAAATAGGAGTTAAGGTGGCCCAGTATCTGATAGAGAACGGTAATTCTTTTAACTCAAAATTTAAATTAAATTAAAATTAAAATCAAATTTATTTTCCTTAAAAAGGTTTCGCCAAACGACCTCTAGAGTCTGCTGAAGTACAGGAGTACATCTCAAAGAATTCCTATCAGCTGGAATATGGAAGTGCTCTGGCCGAGACTTGGAAATACCCAGAGATGAAACCGCATCCCAGTACGGCGCCCTTTGAAAAGAAGCTTAAGGGGAAAAAGTAGGCGATTTCCGATGGAAAGTGGTGAAGTGTCTTGTTATTTGACTTAAATCTTAAATTTCCAAATTTCCAGATGACAAAGTACACATAAAAATTGTCAGTTATCGTAAAGAACTCGAAGCCTTTTAACCATGGAATTTCGCCGGCTGCATCCACTTTTGCGTTTCCCAGCCCGACTGGTTTTAAATTTTTGCCGAGGGGTCAGCATCTATGACGACGAAATGGATCAAATAACGCGACCCGATTGGCATCGAGTCATGGAGGGAAAATATAATAAGGTGCGTGGCCATTCTCGCTACTAAAACTCTCGTAAGATAATTACCCCTATATGATTCTATAGGGTCTCGCGTTCACCATCAAGGAGCGGCAGCGTCTGGGGATAATGGGACTGATGCCCTGCTCCGTTCGCAGCATCGAGGATCAGATGAAGGCGGCCAGGGCGAATTTCGAGGCCAGACCCTCGGACATCAGCCGGTTCACCTATCTGAGTGCCGTCCACCATCGCCACCGGCGCCTGTACTACCGGTTCATCAGGGAGAATATCGAGAAGGTGCTGCCCATAGTCTATACGCCGACGGTGGGCGACGTGGTGGCCACCTACGGGCTGAACTTCCAGCACGCCACCAGTCTGTTCATCAGCATCCACGACAAGGGACACATCCGGGATCTGATGCACAACTGGATTGATGAGGGGGTGAGGGCCATTTGTGTGACGGATGGCGGCCGGGTTCTGGGCCTCGGCGATATGGGAGCCAATGCCATGGGCATTAGTTTGGGCAAGATGATATTGTACACAGCTCTGGGGGGCATTCCGCCCAGCTCCCTGATGCCCGTCTGCCTGGACGTGGGCACCGACAATCAGGCGCTGCTCCAGGATCCCCTCTATGTGGGCGTGCGCATACCCAGGGTCAAGGGTCCCGAGTACGAGGAACTGGTGGAGGAATTCATGGAGGCGGCGGTCGCCTGCTTTGGCCACACCACCTTCATCCACTTCGAGGACTTTGCCACGCCGAATGCCCTGAAGTTCCTGGACAAGTATCAGTACAACTACAGCTGCTTCAACGATGACATCCAGGGAACTGGGGCCACTGGACTGGCGGCCTTTATCAATGTGGAACGGATTACGGGAAGGAAACTGGAGGATACCGTCTTCCTTTTCGTGGGTGCTGGTAGCGCGGCCCTGGGAATCGCCAATATGTTGGCCATTGAACTGGAGGAGCGTGGTATTCCCGCCGAGGAAGCAACCGAAAATGTCTACCTAATGGATGCCAACGGGCTGCTGACCTGCGACAGTCCCGATCCGCCGGAGCAGGCCAAGCGATTTATGAAGCCCATGGAGCCCGTCAAGGATCTGATGGCGGTGCTGGAGAAACTAAAGCCCTCTGTCCTCCTGGGAGCCACTGGAATGGGTGGACTCTTCACCGAGCAGGTCCTGAAGACCATGGCCAAGAACCACGAGCGTCCAGCGGTCTTTCCCCTCTCGAATCCCACCTCCAATTCGGAATGCACCGCCGAACAGGCCTTTACACACACGGAGGTTGGGCTATATTATATATTTATATATATTATATATTTAATATATTTCTTAGGGTCGCGTTCTCTTCGGTTCCGGATCACCATTTCCGCCGGTGGTGATCAACGGTAAGAGGTTTACGCCCGCCCAGGCCAACAACTGTCTGACTTTTCCGGGCATCGCATTGGCAGCCATTACTGCCAAGGCCCGATATCTGCCCAATTCAGTGTTCTCCGTGGTGTCGCACGAACTGGCCAAGAACACCACCCAGGAGCAACTGGATGCAGGCACCATTTTTCCCTCCATCAGAGATGCCAGCAAGGTGGCTTTCAATGTGGGCGTGGCAATGGCCCAATATCTATTCGATAATGGTAAGTTAATTGTTGGAGTGAATTGGAAATCTTCAGATTTGGTGAAAATTATATGAAGTCCTTTGGAATATATACATTTAAAACCAAAATCCTTTTTAAATTCAATAATATCGTTTTCAATTATTTTCTTTGTAACTTTTATCTATTGTTAATTTTTTCTTTAAATTTAATTTTGAATTTATCTTTCAAAAATACTAAGTTCTAATAAATTTTTAAGTTTTGCCATCTAATGTCCCCTGTTTTTTATATCTTCCCCCAGACCTTTCGAACATTTACCCCAAGCCCAAGGATGTCTGTGAGTTTGTGAAGAATTCTCAGTACACGTTTGAGTACCAAAAGTCGCTGCCAGCCACTTGGGGTTATCCCGAGCAACCGCCAACACCAAAAGCACCGAAAGCCAAACCTAAAACTGAACCCGAGGAGAAAAAGAAGGAGTAAACTTGGCCGGGATTTTATCGTAAGGACTGCTGACCTGCTTTTTAAGCTGGGAGAGTGCCGGGTGTAATTAGTTGAAAATAAAGGCGGAGGCAGAGGACCAAACACACATACTACTCACACACACACACACGAAGCGAAACGATAAATGCCCGACATTTTAACGTTATTATTGTCCTGTCAACGGGAAGCCAGTTGACATGCTCGTGCGCCTGTGTGTGTGTATCCTGCTGATTTGCATATAAAATAGGACGAAATGTCTGCTCACCAAAAATGTCAATCAATTTATTTCTTTGCCTCCTTTGGCCTCCATTTTGTTCACTTTTTTTCTTTTTAGAGAAGAGAGAAGCGACGAGAAGAGAGAGACGAGGACGTGCATGCATTAAAAAGCAATTGGTGTTAAAAGAGCAGTCAGGCGGCAGTCGCACGTTGTCTGCCTGTCTATCAGTTTGGCATTGGCATGTGCCCCTTGCCACGCCCCTTCCCTCCTCCTCCTCCTCCTTGGCCCTCCCTAGGAGGAGAGCTTTTCCTGGGGCAAGAAGCCCCTAGAAGCAACAGAAATGCGAAATCATTTCCCCCGACTGACAGCTGTCAAAATATTTGCTCTCCTTCGATGGCTGCGTGGCTTCTGCCGCTGCTTGTGTCCTTGTGCTCTGTAAATTTCATTTTAATATTCATTACTTCACACTTAACACTCGGAAAAACCCCATGGTGGTGACCACATTTGGTTCTTTAATCGATGGAAGGAATGCGAGGAAAAACTGAAACTTAAAGGGCCGCTGGCTAAAAATACAGATCTTGAGGCGACGGCCGGTTTCGTCACGGTTAGCCTGGCTTATGGAATTTAATTGGCCATAAAAATGTATGCGGCTTGTTGAACGTGGCAGGCTGTAGCCGTAAATCGTAAATTTCCCTCTTGCCGGTTTTCCGCATCGATTTGCGCCCCACGATAAGGCTCTAAATTTAAATGCCAGCGGCAAAGGTTAAGGGTTTTCTGCTCTCTTTTTTTTGCCTGGGATAAAGATTATATGATGCGTCAGCATATAAATTATAGGCCAGATAAACCAGATAAAAGGGAGCTAAACAAAGTCAGTCCTTCGAGCAATCGAGAGGGAAACTTAAGGTTTTTATGTTTTATGTTTATAAGCACGTTTTACTTGGATATAACAGTTTTTAAAATGACAAATATATTGCAAGGGACAATACATAAATACTGAAGGTTTAACTGTTGAACAACTTAAATATTTATATGAAAGTAGGTCAATGTTTTCCTAGCAATCATTGGCTGAAAAATATTTGTTTTGTGTAAAGAAAGCACATATTATAAATGTTTTTAAAGTAACCATTAAATTGACCAACTTGTTAATAAAAGGTAAATGTAAATATTGAAAGCTTGTTTGCCAAGTGACAAGGTAAACATAAAGTCGGTCAATGATTTGAGCCTGCAATATTTATTTTCGGTTTTCTTATGAATACTTTTCATGGCAAAGAAATCAAGTACTATAAATGTTTTTCAAGTAAATATTTTCCCTTTTGCTGTTAATTAAAGTGTTTTTTTCCAGGACGCCTCTTCAATTGGTTTTGCCTAAGCCGCTGTGTTATCTATCTGGCCAAGTCTAAGCCCCAAATGGGTCAAAGCCGGGCCAGAAGTTGGGGGCCAAAGCTCACTTGACTGTGCTCAGTCGATAAGTAGCCCCAATAAACACAAAAGTCTACTCGGCTTGGCCTCTGTTGCTGTTCGCCGACCGCTACTTCATCTTTTTGAAGATTTTCATTTATCTGCTGGCCAAGATAAAACAGCCAGGCAGGCTGGCCAAAAAAAAAACACGAAAGAAAAATGCGGCAGAAAGCAAAACGAAAGAAAGCGGCACTTAAATCCATTTAAGCGAATTTTTCAAGCATTAAATTTGCGTTTACGTTACGTATACTTAACTTCCAATGGCAACGGCAAATGGCAAGGATGTCGGGATGTAAGGAGGCTGGGCGGAAGGACGAAGGACGAGAGTCTGAGGCTGGCAGCAGGTAAATGAAAAATTTGCCTCCTTTTTCGTGGTGCGCGGGCTGCAAATGTATTTGGCATCATTTGTCTTAGCCAGGCCAAGGATCTGCCTCCCTATCTTTTCCACCCACCCAGCCAACCACCGACTCACACATACATCCAGAAAACACCTGCCTTTGCATATGGTCACAGTTTCTGGGTCCAACTTTTCTTTCACACTCCCCATATATGAAAACGGTGGCTCTGTTTTTCCTTCTCCAACAGTCAACAGTTTTGTTTGCCTGCGACTTCCATTGTTGTGTTTTGCGGTCATGTAAATGCCCTGCCACGCCCACCGCCCATCTACCACCCACTCCCCCATACGATTGTTGTTGCTATTGTGAAGCATTTTTTCTTATCTCCACTTTGCATGCCGCCCAGTGTTTTCCCTCCGCTGCCTTTCTTTTTTCCAGACGAACTGAGTCAGCACTTAATTTTTATTTGATTCTGTCTCAGTTGCGTTGCGGTTGCTTGACTTGGCTTCACTTTACTTGGCTTCACTTCTCCGTAGAGTGAGGCAGAGTGCCAGGGAGTGCGTAATTTTTTATGGCGTTAATTTAACAATGATTGGCTTTCAACAGCCAAAGGTAACCGAACCTGTACTGCTAAGTCAGTTTGTTTTTAATGAAACATTCCCGAGGACGCCCATTTCTCTTAAGTAATTTCTAGGTACTGGTATGGAAAATAGAATTTTTTCAATATAAGAAAATAAACGAAAATTTGTTTAATATTTAACACACCCATTTTCCCATTCCCAATCTTCGAAATAAACAAAAGTTCCTCCGAGTGCATTAGGTGGCTATGCGAATCGGGAAATGTAAAGCCCGTTTCTTGGCCCATACATCAAGCTTATCTCGCTTCCAGCAGCAGAAACTGTCGCACAAATCTCGAAGCCATTTGCCAATGTCCCGGACCACCTGCATTCTCGTTACATATAAATATGTGTTCGATATTTAACAGCTTCCAGTCGAATGCGTCTGGCAGAAGGGACAGCCCATTCGGTGGAAAAGGAGACCGAGACAGGCAGAGTTGGCGATGCAGACGAGACATATGTATGCAAAGTGAACTGCGGCCGGTGTTGGCCAGGCTTAAATTTGGCTCCGGCTTTAGGGCAAGTTTGTTCAGGGAGCCCGCTCCCGGGCCAAGAACAAATAGTAGCTGCACTGAGGAAAAATGTCGGGGAAGCTGGGACAAATTTGGTATATGGGTAAGAAGAATATTTTTGGAAAACGGATTTTCTATTACCTTTTAAGTTTCTAGATTGTAGAGAAATATTCTTAAGACTTTTAAAATTGTAACTTTCATATTTGGAATGTAATATTTAATTTATTTATATTTAAAGTACCACACAAAAACTACGATATTAAATATATGGTGTTTCCTAAATCATTCAAATTATTTGAATGCGGCTGTAAATATTTAGACACCAAAAACTTTTCTGTAGCTATGAATGTAAAACTTATGCAGAAAAAACTAGTCAAAATAAGCAAACAACTAGTAAAATACTAAGTAGGTAACTAGCCTTATTAATGGTAATAGACCGTTATTGTAGTTCTTTTTGTTCGGTGTGTGCTGTAAAAATCCAATAAGGTAAACGGCAAACAGCCTGCAATGGCACTGTGTGTGTGTGCTTGTGTAAGCACCTGGCATTTGTGTTGAGCACGTTCGTACCTTATGTGGGATTTAGTTTAGACTTCATTTTACTGCGCTGCGCTTTTGGTTTCATTCCGTGTGTCTCACACTGGCCCTCGGCCCTCTTAGCCTTCTTTATGCCAGTTTATGATGGCAGAGCCGTAAAAAGAGAGAAAGAAATTGGGCAGAGCGCGGCAGCGACGACACAGAAGTGTATAGTATATATAGGATAGTGTAGTGTAGTATAGTAAAAATAAAGCCATAGACATGGCTGGCACCGCCACTTGAGTTCCCTGTAGGCTCACCAGGACTCCAGGACTCTCTCCGATGTCCTGGCAGCCTAGACAATGCTGTAATCTAGAAACACAAACGTGCAATTCGCCGCTCACCGTAAATGCGGTCGGGCATACGGGGCGTATGTGTGTTTACTTGCACACTCTCGACACGAAATGGCGTGGGAATATATTACAAGTTGGTTTTACACAAGGAAAGTGTGTCAGTGGCTTCGGGAGAAGGGAGAAGAAAGAACGGAGCAACTTGCATTAAAGCTCTCAACGAGCCAGCTCAATTTTTAAAGCCAAATCCCGGGGATCACGGGCGAAACTGGTCAGAAATTGAGGCAACATAATTCAGCGGATGAGTTTTACGACTTCATCGGAAGCTGCACTGCAAGTTGCAAGTGCAGCAGCATCGAGAGGAAACATTAGCAAGTCTAGACACCTACGTCATGCGTCAGCAACACTGGCAAATGCTGCCGAAAAAACGTGCAGCATGGCCAAAAGGATATGTACTCGAACGAAAGGAGCCGGAAAACGGAGGAAGCTGGGAAGCTGGGAAACTGGCAAAAAATGAGACGTCAAGCAGACGATGAAGTCGACGTGGTCTGACAGCCATCCAGACAGCCAGCCAGCGAACTCCCGAAAGGATCCAAGAGGATCCGAGGCGAAAGGGAGCAGAAACAGGACGAAGAGCAAGACGGAGACCACCAGGAGCATTTGAACCTCTTGGCTTGTTTAATATGCTGAAAAATACGCGTCTCGACTTACGGCTGCCCGAGTTTCCCCGCCCCTCCACTCGCCACCATCCACTTGGAATGCATTTTCGAGTTTTACATTTCCATTTCAATGTAACGACACATGTATTTGTGGTAAAAGCTTATGGGCGAAATCCGCCGAGTGGAAGGGCAAAAGGCAAGAAAACGCGGTAACATTTTCCCGGAATTCATCAGAGGATCTGCGCTTCGAAGCGAATTTAATTACAGCACATAATTGGAATTCGATATCTAACCGAGTCGGGGTCGCCACCTGAAATTACGCTCCGCTGTTCGTGTGGTTCGAGTGTGTGGCCAAAACTGCCAGCGGTATGATAAAAATTTTCCAATTACCAATTTTACATATTTCAAAGCGCCCGCATAAATATTTATGGCGAAAATTTATGAAAACTAAACGTGA